CTCTCGTGTGGGGGAGCGGGGTGGGGGGATGTTGGAGGGAGGAGGCCTCATTTGCGGGTCGAGGGGGGGTGGGGCTCGGGAAGGCCATGCCAAGGTCGTGTTTGGGGGTAAGGGAGGGTTCTGTCGGGGTTACAGACAAATGCAACAGAGGTGACCTACACACACGACGAAACAAGTACAAGACTGAATGAAGTTCATGAGTTCGAACAACAACATTTAAATACAATTTTTGAAAACCATTGAGTCATTCTCCATCATCTGCAAGAAACAATCATTGCACAAGTTTTGAAAGTATAACATTACAGGCTAACGAAAGAACACGACGAAACAGCTGCACCGTACACACACAACAATAAAAGACACATGCACACTGGACTCAGTCAAATGGTGTGCGAAAAAACTGTGGAATCGTCTGAAACATCGATACAAAAATAAAAGGAGAAACAAAAAATGAAACTGTGAGCACTGCACCTGCTGAGCCCTTGTGTGAAGAAATACTCAAAAAAAGTGCAATCCTCTGAAACATCAATGAAAAAATAAAACGAGAAACAAAAACAAACTGCACCCGTGCATGGAAATAGTATACAATAGTCTAACCACCTATACAAATACAAATGCAGTCATGACGACCTACACAGACCACTCCTACGAACACAAGGCCCCGTCCGAAGCACTAAATATATTGTACACTAGTACGAAACAGAGGATGAAAGAAGACTAATGGTGGAACTATGCATCATCGTCGTCCACAATGTCCTTCCTCCTCCTCTGCGGCACCACACCGGTGACACCATCCCCACGACCTGTGCCGCCTGCGGACGCGTGCGCAATATCCGGAGCATGAATCTCCCCCTGTGGCGCCGCCTCAACCCCTCCCTGTGGTCGAAGAAGATCGTACACAGAAACCCTCCTCCGCTGGCCATAAGACATTTTCAAATCGTCTGTGCCAGACTCCCAAACGACTGATGCTGTGACGGCCGCTGCGTTGTCACTGCCCTCACATCCTCCCACAATATACGTGCGCAGGCGCTGGTGACGCAGGTCTCTCGCCTGCATCCCTTCCGCCCGCACCGCTGCACTCAACCTGTGCATCGCCTCCCGCAACGCTCGTCTCGAGCATCCGTGCTACACGTGCCCTCGATGCAATACTCTGCGTCATCTCGCAGCAGCTAGCCAACCCCTGCGCCCTCCTCCTCTCCTCGCGGTTGATCCTATCCTGCTCTGACTCTGTCACCCTCTCCTGCACAGGTCGACACTCCCCATCATCCCTAGCTGCACGCTCGTGCTGCCCCGACCAACCCGGTGTCCCCTCTGCTGCCTCTTGCAACATGCTACTACTGATGTCGCCCATGCTGCATGAAGGTATACCACGAAGTATCTGACTGGCGGGCTCATCGGCACCAACACGCTCCCCTGCTGATGTCGGAGGAAACCCTAGCGAAACATCAAAAATGTTGTCGCTGAAACTGACACCCAACTGTGCAGATGGCCTCCCAACCTGTACACTCTCGTCACCAACACCTTCAAACCCGCCTGCGCCCTCCGCAGACGCCGCTGCGAACTTTGCAGGGGACGGAGCAACCTCTGTAGGGGAGGGAGCAACCACAACCGCCTCAGCAGGCCTCCCCTCATCAACCCAATGCACAGTGCGAGTGGACGATGCAGACTCTCACCTCACTTGTCCTCTGCCAGCACGCCCTGCACCACCTGTGTGCCCTGCACACCCAACACCCAGCCCGTTGCCTCCCCTGCCTGCACCACTGCATCAGTCGCCACGCTGTCTCTCGGACTTCCGGAAACCACCCACAGGCTGTCCACCGTCGCCGCCCTCGTCCTCGTCGTCGTCACCATGTCCGCGCGTCGGGGAATAACAGGGATCATCCTCATCCTCACTGCTGCCCTCATATCCCTTCTTGTCGTCGCCGTCGCCGCCGTCGTCGCCCTCATCAACGCGCTCACGAGTCCCCTGCTCACCATGTCTGCGACGATCGGTCGAAGGGTGTGCCGTCGTGCTCTCAACACGGTCCGCCGGACCTCGCAGTGAGACGTCTGGAGCACTCGAAGGAAGGCGTGCTGCAAGAGACGGTGCAACGGCCGCCGTGGACGCACGTGTGCGAGGACGCGGAATCTGGATGAGAGGAGTGTCGTCGTCATCGTCATCAGAACATCCAGGCTCTGAATCCACGGCCAGGTCGTCCGGATCGGACCACGGCTCGGCCTCCATCATGTCTTGAGCCATGGGATCAGGCTCGGGATCTTAGACCGACTCCAACTCAGTCGCCATGAGCACCGTGGCACGACGACCGAAATCTGTCTCGACGCTGGGAGGTGCCTTCGAAAGGCGATCCTTCCACCCGGGCTGGACCTTCTGGTCACTCTGTGCCTCGGTGACTCGGTCCGCTGGCCGAACACCCTCATCACGACGCGGAGGAATAGCATCCTTTGTCTCCTCCTCAGCGTCCTCCCATGGAAGAACGTACCGTGAACCCCTCCCCTGACAACGACTCAATCTCAAGTTGGTGGATATCTCCACCAAACGAGTCAGCTTGATGAAACGAAGCTGGTTACACCTTTTCACCTGAACACGCTCATGGACGGCCCGATTCCTCTCCGTCGGAGAGGCGCACGTCCATGTGTGCGTCAAGCGAATGGCGATACTATGAAGGAGAGGGACCCCGTCCCCATGCTGAACCCACCACTGCCCCACCTGTGACGTCTCCTTCTCCCCTCTGCAGGAGGCCGCATCCCTATCTCCCTCAACCCCTCCATACGTCCAATCGCCCTCTCGAGAATGAAACTCCGCCAGCTGCGTGCGCAACGTCTGATACAAATCCTCGTCACCACCAGTCTGCTCGCGAAGGTATCGCAGCGACTCGTCTGCCAGTGTGCGCTCGTGCTCAGTATGCCTCGCCGCTCCAAAAAAAGGAATGCTCCTGTGCCGCAGGTTGAGGAGGTGGGCCATGCAATGTGAGGGCTCCAACATATGAGCGACCCGCGCCTGACAAGCCTAAATAACGATGTAGAGCTCGTCCTTCGACGTCCTGTTCAGGCTCGCTCTCGCCACCCTATTGACCATGACAAAACCCCACGACCACATGCGAGTCATCACGCGCCCCCCCCTGTCCAAACACCGTAACAACTGCATCACAGTCGTCATCAGCGCCACGATGTCCTCCACGTGCTCCCAGAATGGCACGTACCGCACCTGATGATGCACCCACCTGGCCTGGAGAAAAATGGATCTCCTCCATGCATTCCGTGACCAATCGTCGCTCATCATTAACGCCTCCAATGCTCTGCAACGATCCAGCAACCTCTCCAGCATCAAGTAGTGGGTGGCAAACCTCGTCTGCACAGGGTACACAAGCTCCCTGCCTCGCCGCTGAGATGGGGGTGGCGCAGAGCTGGAACTGCCCGCCGCCGCGGAGGCGGAAGAGGGGTGGGCGGTAGAGAACCGTCGATAAAGGCTCATAGCCGCCCCGTGCTCTCTGATGAAATGCACGACAGCTCGAGCCTTGATGATGGTGACCTCCCTCTTCCCAAGGCTCCCGTCACGCCCATCCTTCGCGATGTCTGACAACACAAGCTGCAGACATGGACCGCACACGGAAGCCAAGTGACCGGCTGTACCTGACTTCCTCCTTCGCGAGGAGCTTGGAGGCAGCGACATACGCAGACGCGGAATCAGTGCAAATGGCGTTGACCTTGTCGACACCGAACTTGTCGAACACGTCCTTCCATCGCTTCACGACGGCCTCTGCTGTCTCCTGAACAGCACCGTCTCGCTGCACAGTCCTGAAAAGGTACGCGCCCGTGGGCCCAGCAGCAAGGAAGTTTACTATCTGGTCACTCGTGATGGACTTGCGACCATCCGTGAGGATGGTCGCTCTCGTCGCCTCAATGTCCCTGCGGATGGCCGCCACCATGTCCGCCACAACTTGCTGCTGCTGAGGGATGTCGTCGCAGGAAATGACACGATGCGTGGGTAATGCAGGATGTGCATACGGCGGACACTCGAGCAACTTATTCCTCATCGTTTGATACTCTGGCCTCCTCGCCGCCTCGAATGGGATGCCGCTCACGTACCACCATTGCAGGAAGGAGTCGGAGAAATCTCGTTGCCACACCGGATCGAAGGTCTCCAGCATAGACGTCTGTCGAAGAACTCTACTCTTCTTTGGCTGAGAAGGTGCTGATCTCGCCTCAGTGGCAGTCCTCTTCGCCTTCCTCTTTCTCTTCTTCGATCCCGCAGCCTCCTTCATCGCCTTGGCTGCCCCCTCTTGGCCACGACGGCCATCGGCCAACAACCCCCCATCCAGAGAGGCCCCAATATCTGCTCCCTGATCGTCATCGTCGTCATCGTCGTCCTCGTCAGGGGTGCTCTCCTCGTCAACGGCCTTCTCCCTCCTCATCTTTCCCCTGGCGCGCTCCACCTCTCGCCGAACCTCCATGTCCTGTGCATCACTCTCACCATCATCATCTCCACCCCCGACCGCCCTCCTCTCCTCCTCGCTGTCCTCGAACTCCTCCCCCGCCGGCTCCCTACCCGAACCACATCTTTTGTCTCGAAACCCACGAGACTTCAAAAAGTCCACGATCTTCCGGTGATGGCTTTGATCGAACCCATACTTTGTCTTGTTCCAGATCTCCGCCATATGCTCCACGGAGATTTTGGCGCAATTGTTCTTGATCGTGAAGTGCTCTGTTGTGGCTTTCGTTTGGCTCCCCAAAAACCCCTGACCACACAGCTTGCACTCCATGAGTAAATTGCCATTCGAATTCGGCATTGTCCGGCCCTTCGTAATCCACTTAAAACCGCAAAACTTCAGCTCTGCCTCCCTCTGCTTGTCCTTACTAACCGAAACGAATGGCTGATCTCCCCTCCCTTTCCTGGGCGCCATTGCAGCCTTGCAGGGAGCCCAGCGCCCACAGATGTCGGAGCAGAGTACGCTAAACACCGCCAACGACCATCCCCAGGCCCGTCCCCCCYCCCCCCCCCCCCCCAGACGGGCCCGAAACTCGAGAACCCCGTCGCCGAGCACGGCCCGTCCACCGGCCCGCTTAGGCGTACGGGCCGTACATACGGGTGCTTGTGTACGTACGGGCGTACGGGCCGTACATACGGGTGCTTGTGTACGTACGGGCGTACGTATGCGCCGTCCGCCACCGCTGCGCCACGTCCCCGCCCGAAGAGGTCGCTGCCGCCCTTTGCCCCGCTGCCACCGCCGTCGCCGGAAATGTCGTCGTCGCGGTCGCCGTCGTCTTCGTCTTGGATGTCTCTCTCTCTCTCTCTCTCTCTCTCTCTCTC